AATTGCCCTGGAAGCTTGATTTGAAAACGCTATTCCATCTGAACCCTTAAGATTTAAAAGAAAATGTTTATATAGTATTTTTATGGTATAGTATGTGTTATCATCAACTGCCCAGAGAGCTTTGGCTACTGAATGGTATAGAAATAAAATTAATACTACTACTATGATTATTCATAGTGTTGTTTCTACATTCAAATTTGCTTAGTTTGGCAGCTTAGAGATATGGATCAGAAAAAGAAACCATATTATGTACTTAATGTCAAAAAATAAGAGTCCTTATATATGCGACAGCTTAGTACCAAGAGGCATGTTTTAGAGTTGTTTTCCTGATAAGCAATACTAAGCAGAGAAATGAGCAAAACAATACTTTGTTTCAGTAAAGTAATTTATTACAGGCATCCTACAGGGGACTAAAGGGCATCCAATACAGCATGGAGAAAGCAGCTGAGGTGATCTTTGCCTCTCGGTCCTCCTCTATTTTTGTTGGATTTGTTTTTTTTCCCTGTCCAGCTGTAGCACCTTAGAAGACGGGAAGGATGCTACAGAGGTATTAGGATAACTCTTATTTATTTATTTATTTATTTGATTGATTGATTGATTGATTGATTGATTGATTGATTTATATGCCATTCTACTAGCCATGGGCTCTCTGAGTGGCTTACATCATGATAAAATTCTTATTTCCAACATATTGGCAGCAGCATATATTAGTGTGCTGAAGGACAAGAATTAATCTATTGAAATAACTGTGGAATAGCTGTCTTAAGTTGGTGCCTAAAGGCCAAAAGCGTAGGCACCAACTAGAACTCCAGTGGAATCGAGTTCTAATGTTGGGGTTCTTGGCATCCACAATCTCCTATCTCCAGCTTGCCCCCTTTTATCTCTTTCACTCTACCAGCCAGTCTATGAGGGGGCAGGAGAAGGGGGTTGTTGTGTCAATTCCCAGCTCTGATGTCAGAGCATTATTAACTCCAACTTTGGTGCTGGAAATTTGAACAACCCTGTGGCCATTCAGACAATGGCTAGGGGTCATTGGTTTGTTCCCTCCAGTGAAGGAGCTGCGCACAACAATAATTTATGTCTTCTTGGTTATTTATTATATTTTAATCTGTACAACAACAAAACGCAAATCTCAGAATCAGAAACATGGGGTGGTCTTTAAAAGAGGATACAGCTAATTAAATAAGTAATAATTGCTAATAGAGACAATGAAAAAGTGATTCTAGAAATACATCAAAATCTAGATTTTTTTATAGCACCAATTTGAATTAATCTTAAGCAGCAGCTCCCTACACTGAACTGCAGATATTTTTGATGCTGATAGGAATTTCATAGTTTGCAATATGACACAGATGCTACAAATCAAATACATGAGGTGAAAAGACCTATTGGCTAGGCAGAAGCCTTGGGCCCACTTAAACTGAAACTCTCTGGATTGTAGTCTCAGTACTTTAAGTATACCATCTCTAGCATGCAATTTATATGGCAAATGTTATGCATACTAGTGGCATGTATTAAGAAGGGTATATTTTAAATATGTGTGTGTGCAGAGACATGTTTAAAGTGCTTCAGTAGACAAGTATAGATGTTTGTATTTGTGCAGTGTTTGCATTTACCAAGTTACCTGATTCAGTTCTCCATTTGGAAGCACAGGCCACATATATGTCAGCTTGTTCCACAAAGGATTGTCCACTTTTGACTGTTTCCACTGACCAGGCTTACTTGTTCCTTCATGTTTAATGGCCCATCTGAAACAAACAAACAAATCTATTTTTTATCAGAAGTATTAGCAATGATCTTTTTACAAATACATTTCTGACTGGAACTATTTTCTGAACAGCAAAATTGTAACTCCTCTTTTCAATACACATCTTTTTTATCAACATAAAAACCTCTCTCAAGTTCAGGATAGTATCACCTATGTTCCTATATATCTTTGTACCTGGCTGTTCTGCTGTTGTTTTTCTTCCTCTGTTGGCTTTCAGCTTGTTGGTCCTTAGTTCAATAATTTTAATATTCAAAACAACTGATATTGTTTTGAGTATTTTTAGTATAGCTTCAATATATATTTGAATTGTATTATGGTTAGCTTCTCATATATCATTTAAAAAGGCATTATGGCTAGATAGAGGTCAGGTACATTTATATGTATTTAATTTTCTCCCACTCCACTTCCACTATGGTTGGTTCTTAGGGCACTTTACATAATACCATAACAGAACAATTCTAATCCTCACTGAAAACCAGCTGAGGGCTCTGTATGTCACAGTATATGACCAAGGGATTAAGTATGTATGAGACTTTCTACTTGTTTTTAGAAATGGGCAACATGATAACAAACCATGTCATGACAACCCCTACAGCTTTCTCTCATTTCCTCATGATCATGAAAACACACATAATTCCCCCTTTTCCATGCACGCACACACACATGCACATACGTGTACACACACTTCCTGAATGTCAAATACTGGATACAAACAATCAGGGGATGCTGTTGACTTTCATTCATGACTTTAAGCTTCCCAGAGGAATTTAACTGCCCACTGTTACAAAGAGGGTACTTAACTACAGAGACAAGTGACACAACCTAAATATGAGGCAGAAGTGGGATTGGATCTCCCAGTTCCTATGGCTTTCGCTTTAATTTATTTATTGATTTAACATTTTGTATACTGTCACAAGAGCCACATGGCTGTCTGGACAGTTTACACAGTAAAAACCATCAGCAAAACATGAAAACAACATAAACAATTCAATACTAAAACATCAAAACCAGCAAAACATCCAAATCACAGCAGGAGCACCAGCCAAGTTGATTACATACATTAACAGAATGGACATGTCTTAAAAGTAACCATTAAAATATTAACAGTCATTAGTTAAAATAACAGCCAAAAATTAAAATAGCATTACAATTAAAACTCTCAACAATTAAAATACTCTGAGAATAAGAACCTTTGGCCTGGTGCCAAAATATATACAAAGAAGGCGCCCAGTGCACATATCTGGGGAGGCAGTTCCACATTTGCTTCCGCAACATAATGCCCATATCACAGAAGTAAGAAATCCAATGTCCACATTACAAACTGATTACCCTTGAATTAATTTACCTCACATTATTGCCTCTTGAGTCAACCTCCAGCACCAATTCAATTAATCCTTAAAGAATTAATTTCCCTTCTTTCCTCCCCAAAAGGAAGGCATGGAAAGAACAGACACAGAAACCATTGCACCCAGTGAAGAAGCAAGGTGGGGAAGGGATGTTCCTATTTGATCATTGTCCCACCCCACTCCCAGCATCGGTGCCCGTTTGGCACTCGGTGCTCTGGTACAGTGGGAAGTTGTTTTAAGCCGCCCCGAGGCTTCGGCGAATGGGGCGGCATAAAAATGTTTTAATAAATAAATAAATAAATAAATAAATAAGTGGGAAGAAACCTTGTTTGCACTATATGCTAGGTCACAGGAACTGGCACTGACTCCAAACAGTAAATTAAAAAACAAAACAAAACAAAAAACCAACCCCCACCACCTTTTTAAACATGGCAGTAGGTCACTGTGCCTATGGCTTGAGTATATGCCTTGTTTGATGTTTCTTGCCTAAAATTTTGGGAGTTGGTGCATGCTGTATTCTGAACGATGTAATTCAGGTACAAGGAACCTTTGTGACTTTAGTTCTCTCCTGTGCTGAAAATAATATTTTCTTTGTTCATATAACTGTTGCTGGAATTAGAGAGGGAAGGAGGGGTTCGCTACCTCCCCTTAGAGCAAAGGCCTATTTAGGTTCCCCGTCAGAAGGCTTGTCAGGATTGTACTAGTTCATTATTGTTAATGCACATTTGAAGTAGACATTACATGGCTTTTCCTGAAAGTGCTATTAAGCCACCAAGTTTCAACACAGTATGAGTTTTAATAACCAAGTTCAAGCTCCTCAAAAACTGGGTTTTTTTAATAAATGAAAAGTTGGCAGTCTCTTAACTGTATTGGCAATAATAGACAGCAATATAATAACCATATAAGCACCTGAACTGCATTCTTCCATTACAAAGCTTCCTTTCCCTTTTGGTTTCCAATAACAGCTCTAATTTGAAGTCGAATATTTCTCATTCACAGCCACTAGGTGGAAACAGCGATTCATGGAAGCCCAGTTGAATCTTTTTTTTTTTTTCAAAAGCTGCATCACATTTAATTCTACTTAATGCTATTTCCCTTTTATTACAGAGAGCCCTAATACAATTACTCCCCCACTCCAATGGCTCACAGAGAAGTAAAATAGAAGTCCTTGTGCCCCAGATTGCTGTCAAATCTCTCTTTTTCAAACATGTGTACAAAGCTCAAGGCAAGGTTAAAACAAAGTGATAGGCTTTTTAACCCCATAATCAATAGGTATGCTATGAATCTCTTTGGCTATTAAAAGCAAATGAAACACCGACTATGATTCTTTCATATGAAGTCAAGTTCTATCTTCTGACATTTTCTGACCATTTCTATACCATGAGTAAACTTGAGAAACAAAATCAACATACATTACTATCCTATGCATGCTCATTTGACAGTCACTCCCACTGTGTTCAATATCATGCACTTCCAGAAGAGAATACATAAAATTCCATTTTCTTTTTATTAACTAATCTGTGGCACAATTTTGCAAGACTGGGATGATAAATGGAGTTCATTATAAAACTGTACGTTATCCAAGAGTTTCAGTAGAGCTGGGGACTGCTCACTCATGAACAGAAGTTTTTATATCTTAATATTTATTTATTTAAAACATTTCTATGCCACCCCCATCGCAACAAAGCCTCGGGGCAGATCACAAACAACACCTTTCTGAAGAATTAGAATGTTATTTGAGAAAAAACAAAGGAGTAAGGTAAAATTGTTAAGCTCTCACTTGTCTCAAAGGGTTGTTATACTCTGACAAAGTTTTCACTCCAAGACTTCAGCTCAGGATGATAAGAATGTTATCTGACTACAGCGTAAAGGAACTTTTGTTTCTGTCTCTATTTGTATGGAGATGTATGGACTTGGACCATTTTGGTCATGTTGCCCCATGAAGTATGCATGCACACCTGAGCCACAAGATGTGGAAATAAAAGAAATACTACTCAAGCACATTAAAAGTTCCAGAAAAATGAGAACTTCCTCCAGCAAGATTGTGTGGAAATCACAGAAGAGCTCAATAGAAATTTCCCTGCTATTCGCCCCATCAGCTTAGGTTGCATTAAAGGAGTCCTTAACTTTCAGTCATTGGAAGAAGATGATTATAGTCTGAGGAATGGCAGCTTGAAGTATGGTTTTTCACTGTCAGGAAAGTGACTCTATATTAGGGATGCAGACCATTGAAACATGATGGGATGAAAAATAGTGTTTTTTAATACTTGCAACCTACTTCTTATCCTCTCACAGTGGTCAACAAAAGATTTGCACAATACAATTACATTCAAATGTAGTACTGCTGTATTCAAGTCATCTCTGCCTTATGGCAACTCTATGAATGAAAGTCCTCCAGAATGTCAGCTCTTGTAAATTCAAGGCTGTGGCTTCCTTCATGTGGTCAGTATATCTTGTATTTGCTCTTCCTTCTCTTCTTCTGCCTTTGACTTTCCCTGGCATGGCCTTCCCAGGGAATTTTGCCTCAGTTTTGTCTTTTTTGCTTCAAGGGAAAGCTCTGGCTTGATGTGATCTGGCCCGAGCCCCATGTTCATCTTTCTGCCAGTCCTGCATATACGCAAAGCCCTCCCACAGCATCATGTGTTGAATGTGTTAATTTTCTTCCTCCTGGCTTTCTTTGCTGTTCAGCTTTCACACCCATATATAGTGACAGCAAATTCAAAAGGATGGGTGATCTTGGGTCTCTAGTGAAATGTACTTACACTTGATTTTTTCTCATTTCTTCATTGCTGTCCATTTAAGTCTCAATCTTATTTAAATTTTTGGCTATAGTCTCTAATTGATGACTGAGCCTAGATATCTAAAATCTTTCACAATTTCAATTCCTTCATTCTTGACCTCAAAGTTCGGTAACTTTTCTGTAGTCATTTCCCCATAATATTCATCTGCAGTCCTGCTTTTGCATTTTCTTCTTTTAATTTCAACAGAGGTCATTTCAATTCATTCCTGTTTTCTGCCAGTAGTATGGCATTATCAACATATCCTAAATTATGGATGTGATTTCTGCCAGTTTTCACTACTTCCTCCGATTCTAATTCAACTTTCCTTATGATATATTCTTTGTACAGATTAAACAGATAGGGAGATAAAATAATCCCTTGTCTGATACCTTTGCCTATGGGAAACCATTCTGTTTCTAATGGGGTCCATCCATGTCACCTTTGGCCACAAACTACAGCCTAATAGGCAGTAGTTCTAATTGAGGATACCTTATGAAAGGGAGCAGAGTCAAGCAACTGGAATTGCCCCCAGCCAATGATGGAGTCAAGTTTTCCCTTGCTCTAACATAAATATTGTGCCCTTTTAGTGAATGCTGCATGGAACATTTAATTATCTATCTGCTAATATCTTTAGATTTCTGATCTTGCAAATTCTTATTCTCACACTTAAAGCCGAGTGAACTTCTTTTGCCTTTGTCTTAGTATTTATCTAGCAGTATAGAATGCAAACACAGCCACTAACATTAAAAGTTACCAAAATGTAACTGCTTTCTCTCAAGCAAAAGGAATGATGGAATTGGCTGGATGGAAACTGAATGGAAAGAGAATTGTTATTGCTGTCAGCCATGATCAGA